GTGTGTGTGTGTGTGTTTTCATGGTAATAAAGAAGCATGTCAGCCAATGCAACAGTGTGACTCACATTGTAGTTTTTAAATGGAAGAATAAGCTTTATCAGGCTTCGGCTAAACAGAAAATATTTACTTACATTTACTGTTGGTTTTAGATTTTCATGGAATTTATTGGCAGCAAGTAAATATAGATCATTCAGTTACGATTTACTAATAATCTTTTTTTTTTGTTCGTTCAGACCACCTGCTACATTCTGGTGATCACCATCGCCAACATTGCCAACCTAGCCAGCACGGCTACATCCATCACCATCCAAAGGGACTGGGTGGTGGTTGTGGCGGGTCAGGACAGCAGCAAGTTGGCAGGTCAGTGTTTCTTATCATCAGATGTAGGTCTCACATGATCCCTTATCAGATCTGTTCAGTGGGGCAGACTTTGAACCCCCGGATGGTGACTCACTCTCGTTTTCACCCTGATTGTTATAAACTATTTCAAAGGTATGCTTACATGGTGGAAAACACTAACCGAACTTGATGACCTTTATCATTCTGCCGTGCTAGTATCATAACTTTTTAAAACCTTCCATCATGTGAGGACTGTAATGGGCCAATATTTGATCACATTTCCTTCTTTTATCAGATATGAATGCCACGGTGCGGATCATCGACCAGCTGACCAACATCTTGGCTCCCATGCTGGTGGGTCAGATAATGGCCTTCGGCTCCCATTTCATCGGCTGTGGGTTCATCTCCGGCTGGAACCTGTGCTCCATGTGTCTGGAGTACGCTCTGCTGTGGAAGGTCTACCAGAAGACGCCAGCGTTGGCCACGAAAGCTGGCCAGAAAGAGCAGCAGCAGGAGCTCAAACAGCTCAGCCCCACAAGAGGTAGCTACAAGAACCTTGTGTTTCATTTCTAGCATCTAACACTGTGGGGAATTCTGAGTTTTGGCCTGTGTGGTGAGTGAATTTAACTAATTCTCTTCATGCTTCTGCCCTTTCACAGAGTTGGAGAACGGCCAGAGCCCTGAGGAATCGTCTCAGCCGCTCATGAATGAAACCTCAGTCGTGACCAAGCCCGACTCTCCCAAGCAGCGCGGCTGTTGCTATCAGGTGACCGAACCTCTGCGCACCTTCAAGGCAGGCTGGGTCGCCTACTACAACCAGAACATCTTCTTCGCCGGCATGTCCCTGGCTTTCCTCTACATGACGGTGCTGGGCTTCGACTGCATCACCACGGGCTACGCCTACACGCAGGGCCTCAACGGCTCGGTGCTCAGCCTGCTGATGGGGGCCTCGGCCGTGACGGGCATCTGCGGCACCGTCGCCTTCACCTGGGTCCGCAAGAAGTGCGGCCTGATCCGCACAGGCTTCATTTCGGGCATTGCCCAGCTGTGCTGCCTCATGCTGTGTGTCGTCTCCGTCTTTGCCCCCGGGAGCCCCTTCGACCTCAGCGTCTCGCCCTTCCAGGACCTTTACACCCACCTGATCGGAGAGAAGCCGCTGCCCGAGGCCGAGCACAGCCTCACCAGCGTTCTTACCAACGCCACTACTGTTGCACCAGCTGAGGAGCTGCCACCTCTGCAGTCCTACATGTCTGTTTGTCTGCTGTTTGCTGGCGTCATTGCTGCTAGAGTTGGTAAGAGTGGTTATCTTAATGTCCTGATATTGTATTTCACTTGTTTTGGAGCAGAGTAGAAGCTCTAGTGCTATTTGCCATTGAGGTAAATGGTATAGTCTAAGTTGTTTGTTAGTGTCGTTTGAAAGGGAATTAGAGTCCATGCTTTATTGGCATGTTTCACTTCCTTTCATAAGATAAGAGAAGGCTGTTTCTCGAATCATCACTTCCTAAAGGTGACTCAAGCAGGTACAAGCAGGTCCACAGGTTGAACTTTTTCTCAACTCACCGGAATCTCACATAAGACCTCTACGGATGTGCTGGGAATGTCAGAGCAATATTTCCAACCTTTGGTTCCAAATATATTGCCTGATAATTGACATAACAGCTACTGTCGCCTTCTAAAGTTGTTTCACTGTGGCTGTAAAAAACACCATTAACACTGACTGTTGATCTCCTTCTTGCAGGTCTGTGGTCTTTTGACCTGACAGTGACGCAGCTCATTCAGGAGAATGTGATCGAGTCGGAGCGAGGTGTGATCAACGGCGTCCAGAACTCCATGAATTACCTCTTAGACCTGCTGCACTTCATCATGGTGATTCTGGCTCCGAACCCGGAGGCCTTCGGCCTTCTGGTCATCATCTCCGTCTCCTTCGTGGCCATGGGTCACATCATGTACTTTGGGTTTGCCTTCAAGAGCCTGGGGAGTCGCCTCTTCCTGTGCTGCTCGCCGGAGCAGAAGGTGGAGGAGGTAGACAACCCCTCACTTCCTACCACCGTCTAACCCCGTTAAAGAGACTCTGTCCTGGGTACATATCTCTCAAGCCTTAACCCTGCCCTGCATCTTATTTATCTAACATCTTTTTTTCTTGTAGCTGACAGAATGCTAATGCTAACCAGATAAAGGCAACTTAACATGCTATGCATAGCCATTAATAAAGCATTACTCATTAGCAGAAAGCTTACAGTTATAGAAAACTAATCCATAGCAAGACTTTAGATAAGGCAGGGTTTCTCTAACGTTTTCAGTCTGGGAGTCATGCTCTTTGATACATGTACTGTCGAACAAGGATCCATCACTTCTAGGCTCGTGATCCCAATGTGGTGGTCCTGTTAAAGACATCAGGGGATATGGCACTGTAAAATATTCTCCCCCTCACTGCCTGGATGTAGCTGTAAAGATGTTTAAAAAGGTGCTTCAGCTAACTAAAAGGCGAAATGAGGGAGAAATCTTGCAGGGAAAGCAGGCACTGAGGCTTGGATTAAGGGGGGGCCGCTGTCGCCTGAGACCCTAAGAGACAGGCTGTCCCCCCACTTTCCTCTCTTGACACTTGCCTCTCATTGGTGCTGTAGCTGTGTCTGCTAGCTGTTCTCTTCAGCCTCTTCAGGACTGTGAGTCCGCTTACATGTATGATGAGCAGGTTCTTGTGGAGGTCGTCCTCCAGAGGGCTTTTTATGTTTTATTTAACCAAACACAAAACTGGGATCTAGTCTCTTTAATACATGGTTATAAGGGTTATGCAAAATAACTATTTATTCAGGAAATGCAGACGGTGGTTTTTATAATATATATCTATATATAACTGTATCATCAGTATTGTGTTGCGCTCTCGCGGTCGTGCTATAAGAAAGAAATCCTATGCACCCTTGTCAATAACTCTCTCAGTTACCAAAGTCAAAGTCCATAATATGTGGCGTAAAAGGAAGTGAGGGAAACCAGTTATCTGTGTGAAGCAATCCAAATATATGTTTTTTTTTATATCAGGTGACAGTAGATGTGTAGGTTCACACCCCGAGTATATCTGAATATTCCTAACCCACTCTGAGATTGTACTTAAATTTTGTTTTCCTGGTAGTTTACATTAATAGTGTTATTTTGTCACCTTTTTTAATCTTTTATGTTCTCTTGACTAATTTTTCAATCATGATTGTTGTTACACAGGCACTTTAAGTGATTGACGTCTGTCATTACACCTAACGCGTGATCAGGCATTTGATCAATATTTTTTGCACAAGGTTGAAGTCCTGACTCTCCTCCCCCCCACCCCACCGCCACCGTAAACCCCCATGCTCAAACTTATTTAATCACTTATAGTCTCTCTGTTTGTTCAGGTGCAGTGGGAGGGGTTGTGGTTTTAAGAAAAAAAAGGCACATATTGTAACACTTACTGTAGCACCACAAAACTGTACCAGAAGAAGTGAGTACACCCCGTGTTGCAGACAGATACCCTCCCGTTTCCTCAAAAGTCAGCTTAGTCAGCAACTCTTATCTGGTCTCAGTATACCGCCTCAGACTGCCAGCAGGCTCTAGATCAGCACTGAGTCAGGGTTGTAGCTCTTATCAGTCTAAGCTTCGACAAATGTTTTAAAGTTCTGACAACTTTGGCTTTACAAGTCCACAACCTGTTTTTTTAAAAAGCATCTTGTGAAAGTTTGTGGCTTTTTTTTTTTGCATTCCTACTTTTAAGTGATTTTTCTAAATAAAAAAATGTCTCCAGAAACGGTTAAAAATCTCAGACAGTAGCTTTCCTTTAAACAGGATAATGATAAACGCTAAGAGAGAAGAGAAAACTAGCTGGATAATGTCAGTTTGCCACCATAAGCTACCAGTCAGGCTGCTTTATTGCTTCATTTTTCTCACTTGTAAGAGGAATAATGTTATTATTATTCCGTCTTTCAGAAATAATCTCACTTTAAAGATCTACCCAAACAAGGTGCCTAATGTAGCTCCACCTCTGGCCTTCAGTGATAACTGTCGCCTTATTGTAAATCAGCCTTGACAGCTGTTAAACGCACACATGTGGCTACATCAAGAGTCGCAACCCACCCATGCAAAATCCAAACAGTCTAGCCAAGAGTTTGGTATTTTTGGGATGGCGAGGTAGAAAGGGGGGAGAGAAATATTTAGTTTGGAAAACCAAGGTAGCCGCACCAGATGTAGGAGAACAGAAGGCCACTTTTTAGCCGAGCATTCCCATGAAACCCGGTGGAGGACGCGGCGGTGAGTCAGGATGTCAGGTGTGCCAGACTCGCAGGGAATGGAGCTTAATTTTCATGTTCCACTCGGGTTTAACGTAAAAACTCAGTCTGGGCATGAAAACAAAACCGGCTCTCACAACGGTCTGTCTGCTGATTCAGGAATATCACACATGGCCATAACTCTGTATTTTTTAATGTAAATAACATTAGCTGTCAGTCAGTATAAACTTATTGAATATATATACGATTGGAAAATGCTCAATAGTATATTGTGTATACTGTTTCCATGCTGTTTTTTATACTTAGTGTTTGTGTGTCAAATTGAGGTTTCTTACAGATTTTTTTTTTAAATTTGTATAAAGTACAATTACTGCATTTCTTTTAAATACATCTGTATCATACTGCTTTAATCTGGCATATATATCTTTCTCTCTGTATGTATATATAGATATATATCAGTGTTATTGTAGTTCAATAGACAACAGCATTAAATCATGAAGAAATCATCCATTTTTATGTAATAATCGCACTCCACTGAACATAAAGTTGTTGGTACTGCTTGTATTGCATGAGGTCACCTAAATAAACAAAACCGTCACAATCGAATGTGTGTTTAGTCTTACGTATGTGTGTGTGTGTGTGTGTGTGTGTGTGCAGTGTATTATGTTCGCAGGGTTTCTTGGGCTTGGTTGCTTCGGTGTCAGGTCACATACCTCAGCACAGTCAGCTGCTAATTTCCTCCCCAGAATCCCTTTCTTTCAGGCAGCCAGTGTTAAACTGAGTGACTTTTAAGCCGAGCTGGATGATCTGGACTCGCATGCTTGCTGAAAAGACAAAGAGTGACCTGTTTGATGATGATGATTTTTTTTTTTAAGCGACAGAGGCTTGTTAGTTGGCTTTGACTCTGCATTCAGTGGTTGTTTTATCATTTCGATGCTTAATGTATGTGTATGTTTAACAGCTGATCTGCACTGAGTGTATTGTGATGGTCGTATCAGGGGCTCGTACTACTTTAAGAGGTTTAAGCCAAATACCAAGGCACTGCTAATCAGTGAGACAGCTAATGAATACACAATAGTACCTTTTTTAACAGGCCTCTTCTTTCATTTTGTTCCCTGTAAAGCTTTACTTTACTGAACAGCAATAGCCTTCAGGTGCCACAGTGAATGAGATAAATTAAACAACTTTGTACTTTAGATAATACAAACTCATCTGTCCTGCAGCAACTGATTGAGCGTAGCACAAACATGCTGTTTTATTTGCAGATGCTGATTTTTAAATGATTTAGACCCTCAATTGTCACATGCTGACTTGCTTTTTTTAGGATTTATCAGTTTAAGGTAGAAGGTTCAACATGAGGGGCGATACCTTAAAAAAGCAGCAGTGTAGGCCCCACCTCATACTTTAAGGACCACATGCCTATAGAGTGAAAAGGCCGCTGACCGCAGGGCAAGTCCAATGTTTACAGACAGGAACTAGGACTTGAGATAAGTGGAGATATCGTCCTGTTCATGTGCAAGGTCTATAGTATCTTCTGGACTAATGAGCACTCCCAGAGACACAGATTTTATATGAAATAAATTCTTGTTTGGTCAGAAGCTCCCGTCAAGGACTTGTGTTCAACTTATTGAAGCTTCCAGGAACAGTCTTTAACTGTAACAAACAGAGGTGATATCAGAAATACCATTTACCTGATACCACTGCTGATAGGGAAGATGTTAGAAGTTCAAGTCAGTCATTTATTACAGATAATTGATTAGTTTGATACACATTTTTGTGTTCTTGCTGAGAGTTTCTGCCAACAACAGTTTAGCTTAGCTTAGCATAAAGACAGGAAACAGAGTGAAACCACTAACCTGGCTCAGAACAACAACTCGGTGGTGCCATGGTAGCCTAAAGATTAAGGTGCCACGGTCCTTGGCCAGGCACAGTGACTGGCTGGAGTCTCTGCTGGTTGCCCGGCCACCTCCGCACTACACCCGGCCAACAAATAGTCCAACACAACACCAGCAGTAAAACCACTTGTACTTTCTGTATGGAATATAAAAACGAGATATGTGTCACTTAAGGAGCTTTAGAGGTGTTAGGTAGGTGGGATTCTTTTAAAGTAACACAGAGCCAGGCTAGCTGTTTCCCTCCGTTTCCATTCTTTATGCTAAGCTAAGCTAATTGGCTGTACTTATTTAACACATTACAGTCTGTTTGCAGGTGTTAGGGAGTACTACTACTGCATACTGTATGTGGATAAAAAGTAGTATGAAGCCTTTTAAGCCTTTGCGTAAGGTCTGATAAATTTCCTCGAGTGATGTCACTTGAGTCAGCGTCTCAAAGTCTGAAAATGAAACAAATGAGGGGGTTTAGAGTAGAAAGAAGTGATCTTACCAGACCTCTCTGTCCTCATCTTTAATTGAGGTTAACGTCTGAAGGCTACATTAACTGCTACTAGCACACCTGCATCTCCTGAAGTTCATGTTGTGCTTTGTGGGTAATGTAGGCATCAGGTTTTGAGAAGGAAGAAGAACGTGTGGAATAATAAAGATGATATCTCTGGTTCAGCTGCATCGATTTTGAGCCCAACATTGTTTTTAATAATATTTGATGAAGTTCTCCCTTTAGCAAGAAAACAACAACCTACTTCCACACAAAAAATAGTTTTTACTTCCTCCTTAATCCGAACCTCTTCTATGAGTTCAAACTTCATCTTTGCTGCACTGGATTTCTTTAAATGGACACAAGGGAATCCCTTAGAGTTGTATATATATATACGTATATATATATATATATATAT